GCCCTGGCCCCTTCGGGCCCCTTCGGGTCATGGGAAAAGTACGGCGGGGACTCGGCTTGGCCGCCACACTGGCCATTCCGTGAGGACATGTACCTGCGCGAGGGCGCAGGGGGCCGCCGCGCGCGCGGGCGGGCCCCTGCCCCTTCTGCATTAGGAAAATGCATAGTGCCTGTCGGCGGCCCTGCTTTGTCCGCCCCAGCGGAAAAATACAATGCGGGAAAGGCCAGGGCCGCCGCGCGCGCGCGGCGGCCCTTGCCCGTGCTGGATGGGAACATGCATAATGAGTGCGGCGGCCCTGGCCCGTTCTGCATTGGAAAATGCATAGTGCGCGCGGCGGCCCTGGCCCATTCTGCGCGGGAAAAATATACAATGCGCGAGGAGCCAGGGCCGCCGCGCGCGCGGCGACCCTGGTTATTCTGCGCGGGAGAATGCACAGTGCGCGCGGCGGCCCTGGCCCATATTGTGTGGGAACATATATCATGCGCGAGGGGATAGAGGGGCCAGGGCCGCTGCGTGCGCGGCGGCCCTGGCCCGTTCTGGATGCGAAAATGCATGGTGCGAGCGGCGGCCCAGGCCAGTCTGTGTTGGAAAATATCACATGCGCGAGGGGCCAGAGCCGCCGCGCGCGCGGCGGCCTTGGCCGTTCTAGCCATTTGGAAAATGTCCGGTGCGTGCGGCGGCCTTGGCCCATTCTGTGTGGGGAAATATACTACGCGCGAGGAGACAGGGCAGCCGCGCGCGCGGCGGCCTTGGCCCGCTCTCTATGGGAAAATGCATAGTGCGCGCGGCGGCCTCGGCCCATTCTGTGTGGATATTATTTTATGCGCGAGGGGCCAGGGCTGCCGCGTGCGCGGCGGCCTGGCCCGCTCTGCATGGGAAAATAGCATGCATAGTATCGTGCGGCGTCCCTGCACCATTTCTGTGTGGGAATATATACGATGCGCGAAGGGGCCAGAGCCCGCCGCGCGCGCGGCTGGCCCTGGCCCGCTTCTGTATGGGAACATGCATAATGCATGCGGCGGCCCTGTTGCGATCTTCTGCGGTGGTGATGAATATATATACACACATATATATATATATGATATCTATATATATAATATATTAATGTAAAATAATATTATGCGTGGGGGCCAGGGCGCCGCCGCGCGCGGCGGCGGCCCTGGCCGCGTTCTGGATGGAAACTGCATAGGTGCATGCGGTCGCCCAGGGCATTATCTGTAGGGACATTTACCTGTGTGCGGTGGGGGCCGCCGGCGCGGCGGCGGCCCTGGCCGCTCTGTATGGGAAGATGCATAGTGCGTGCGGCCCTGGCCATTCTGTGTTGGGCAATACCCCTTGCGCCGAGGGGCCAGGACCGCCGCGCGCGCGACGGCCCTGGCCCATTCTGTATAGGAGAATGCATTGTGCGTGCGGCGGCCCTGGCCCATTCTGTGTTGGAAAATATACCACGCGCGAGGGGCCAGGGCCGCCGCGCGCGCGACGGACCTCGTCCGTTCTGTATGGGAAATGCATAGTGCGTGCGGCGGCCCTGGCCCGTTCTGCGATAGAAAATATACCATGCGCGAGGGGCCAGGGCCGCCGCGCGCGCGGTGGCCCTGGCCCGTTCTGTATGGGAAAATGCATAGTGCGCGCGGCGGCCCTTGGCCATTCTGTGAAAATATACAATGCGCGAGGGGACAGGGCCGCCGCGCGCGCGGCGGCCCTGCGATTTAACTTGGGCATGATGTACGCGCGCGGTCAAGGTGCGCCCATCCTGTTGTGCAATGCGCGTTGGGCGATGGCGCTGGCGGCGAAGATTTGGGCCAAACTGGCTTTGGGGGGCGGTTGGGGGCGAGGGGGTGGGGCGACAGAGGCGGCGATATCCACGCCAGAACTTCAGGGCCTGCGTGGTTTAACGAATCCCACCAGCCCTCTGGGCGTAGGTGGTTTAACAGACTTTGTTTTCTCTCTTTCCACAACCCCTCCTTCCCCTGTTCGGGGGATGGGTTTACCCCTCCACCTACCCCCTCCCCTGGGCCCGGCAGGGGGGGGGGGCACGAGGCGCTAGAACCCCTAAGATGGCTCCAAGGGGGCCTCAAAGAGCCCAAGATGGTCTCCAAGATGGCGCACAATAGCTCAACATGGCTCAAGCTAGCCTCCGACATACCTCCACGAGGCCCCAAGACAGCCCCAAGACGGTTTCAAGTGCCCGCCGAGCCCTCCAAGGCCCCCCCAAGAGGCCAAAATGGCTCCAAAACCAAAAAGAAAATCAATGTGTTTGGCGTTCCCGCCTTTTCGCTTCCGACGGGCTTCGGAGGCTTCAAGATCGCCCCAATATGGCCCAAGAGATCTCCAAGAGGGCCCCAAGAGGGCCCCAAGAGGGTCCCAAGAGAGCTCCAAGAGCGCCCAAGAGCGCCCCAAGAGCGCTCCGATAGGGCCCTGAGGCGCCCTTTTTGAACCTCAGGGGAGGGGGGGGGGCTGAATCGGGGACCCCCCCTCTTTTGAGCCATGGGGCCCAAGAGAGCCCCAAGAGACCTCTCAGACCCCCCCCCCCAAAAAAAAAAAAAGAGCCCCAAGAGGGCCCCAAGATGACCCCAAACGAGCCCCAAGAGGGCCCCAAGAGGGCTCCAAGAGGACACCAAGAGGACCCCAAGAGGACCCCAAGAGAGCCCCAAGATAGCTCCAAGAGACCTCCGCGAACCTCTCACAACAACACCTCAACTCGCCTGTGCATCGTTGTTGGGTGGGCTTGAGGGGATACGCGAAGCGTCAATAATTCGCGTTTGCAACATCCTTCCCCTTTGGGGAGGGGGGGGGCACCTTGCCCCTGGGCCTGGCCGGGAGGGGCGCGAAGATTTAGAGCGACAAGGACGGCGCAGGATGATTTCAAGAGGACCCCTGATCGCTAAATATGGCCGTCGAGGGGGCGGAATGCCTCCAAGATGCCCAAAACCGTTCCAATGCGACTCCAAGTGTCAACGGAGCTTCTCAAGGGTACCCCGAATATGTCATCACCCTTCAAATGTGGTGTTTTGTTAAACGTTGTTTGCCTTTTCGATTGTTCGCCTCCGACGGGCCCCCGAAGCGCTACGATGGCCCGAAAGAGCCCGACGGGCCCAGAAGGGTTCCAAGGCGGCCCCAATTGCACCCGAGAGCGCCGCATGAGGGTCACAAGAGATGCTTTGTCGGACCCCAGCGGGGGGACTGATATTGAACACCTCTCTTCATTGATTGATGGCCTTCATGCTGGCCCCAAGAAAGCCCCCGAGGGCCTGGGGAGGGTCCCAGGTCTCAAACTCCATCATTACCGGCCTCCTTCAATCATGATATGCGTAACACCGCCCCACATAGACACCCTGCCTGGGCATCGTTGATGGATGAGCTGGCGGGGACACGCGAAGCGTCAAAGAATGGCGCGGGCGGGGGGATGGGAGGAGATCGTCATCCCTCCTCTTGCCCCCTGTTCCCCGTATTCGTCCTCCTCGTCGTCCCCCGTACCCCTCACTCCTCCAATTCCTGCACTTCCTTCACCTTCTTTCTCCTCCTCCGCTTCTCCTCGTCCCCTCCTCCACCCCCTCCCCCACCTCCTCCTGCTCCTCCTACTCCTCTTCCTGCTCCTCCTCCTGCTCCCCCCCCTCCTCCTCCTCCTCCTCCTCCTCCTCCTCCTCCTCCTCCTCCTCCTCCTCCTCCTCCTCCCCCCCGAGGTAGCCAGGGAGGCCTCTGAAGAGGCGAACGGGGCAATTCGTTTGGGAACCGTTTCTGGATCGGATCGGCCAGTGGGGCACGAGCAGCTCTGTGGACTGGGTCACCACCGTCCTCGGATGCGCGAATGCTTCTTTTAGCTGGCTCAGAAGCGCAGATATCCACATAGGAACCAGACAATCGGCTTCAACCGATTTTTGCGGGGGCGCCGAATTGAGTGGGCGACTGCATTGGGTGACTGTGTTTGGTGGCTGCGCTGGGTAAATGTGTTGTGTGGCTGCTCTGGGCGACTGTGTTGATCGACTGTGTTGGGTGACTCTGTTGGGTGACTGCGTCAGATGACTGTGTCTGTTGACTGCGTTGGACGACTGTGTTGGGCTACTGTGTTGGGTGACTGCGTTGGGCGCCTGTGTTGCGCTACTCTGTTGGGCTACTGTGTTGGGTTACTGTGTTGACTGACTGCGTTGGGTGACTCTGTTGGGTGACTCTGTTGGGTGACTGCGTGGGCAACTGTATTGGGTGACTTGAATGGGCGACTGTGTTGGTTGACTGCGTCAGGTGACCGTGTCTGGTGACTGCGTTGGGCGACTGTGTTGAGCTACTGTGTTGGGCGACTGTGCTGGGTGACTGCGTTGGGCGACTGTGTTGAGCTACTGTGTTGGGCGACTGTGTTGGGCTACTGTGTTGTCTGACTGTGTTGGGTGACACTGATGGGTGACTGCGTTGGACGACTGTGTTGGGCGGCTGTGTTGATCGACTGTGTTGGGTGGCTGTGTTGGGTGACTGCGTCAGGTGACTGTGTCTGTTGACTGCGTTGGGCGACTGTGTTGGGCTACTGTGTTGGGCTACTGTGTTGGGTGACTGCGTTGGGCGACTGTGTTGCGCTACTGTGTTGGGCTACTGTGTTGGGCTACTGTGTTGACTGACTGTGTTGGGTGACTCTGTTGGGTGACTGCGTTGGGTAAGTGCGGGCGTAGAGTGCGGGGTGCGAGTGCGGGGTGCGAGTGCGAAGTGCGAGTGTGGATTGCGAGTGCGGGCGTAGAGCGTGGGGTGCGAGTGCGGGGTGCGAGTGCGCAGCGCGAGTGTGAAGTGCGAGTGTGGGCGTAGAGCGCGGGGGTGAGTGTGGGGGGAAGTGCGGGGTGCGAGTGTGCAGTGCGAGTGTGAAGTGCGAGTGTGGGCGTAGAGTGTGATGGGCGGCCGTGCGCCCCGAAATGGCCTGCTTTATAGACATGCACGATCGCTGCCCCAGAGACATACACAAATCTTGGTGAACATGATTCGGCCTGCCTTCCCTGAGGGCATGTCCGAGAGCAGCTTAGGGGCCATGCTCAAGCGGTGCAACGTCGCCCTGAGCACGCAGCACTCGTTCTTCTTCAGGCCCGCTGGCAAGGACTCGGTCGTTGAGAAGTTGCCCCCCATGAGCACCTACATCACGGCCGAGGCGGGCAATATTTTGATGCGGCCCCTCAAGCACAAGAAGCGCCGCGACCAGGAGGAGTGCGACAGGCTCTTCGCCTTCGAGAAGAAAGATATGCTCAAGCCCATGGCCGAGGCGCGCGACGCAGCGGGCGCGCGCGGCGATGGCGGGGATGGCGCCGCCGCCGCCGCCGCGGGCGGCGCGCCAGCTTGCGCCGCGGCGCTGCGGGAGGCACGCCAGTCGGGTGGCGTTTGGGCCGCGCCCGAGGACGACGACGTGTTCTGCCGCCGCGGCGGCGCCGACGCAAGGGCCGACGTCGCGGACGAGGAGGGCGTGCTCGGCTTCGGCGGCGGCATGGGCGCGGCCGAGCCGGCGCCGCCCAAGGAGCTGACGGCGGCGCGGAACGCCCGCGTGGAGCTGCTCATCAAGTCCGGGACCAACAAGGGCATGATTGTGCCGTGGCAGGCGGGCGCTGCCTCGGGGTCGAGCGGCGGCGCGAGCGCGCCGAATGGCGCGGCGGCGCCTGCTGACGCCGCGCCCGAGGCGCAGCCCCTGATCGTCGGTTGCCGCGGCGCTCTCCCTGAGGAGGACCACTGCGAGCAGATGGCGATCTTCCGCAGCCTCGCCAAGGCCCGCCACGGCGCGTGCAAGGACCTGGTCACCGCGCCCAGGAAGACCACGGAGACGGGCTTGGCGCGCGGCGGGCCGCCCTCGCCCGTCAGCCTTCAGGAGCAGCAGGCGATCTTTGCGTGGATCGCGTCGCAGGCGCATGGGGGAACCGTCGCGATAGACGACGGAGACGTCGACTTGGACGCAGAGATGGAGGCCATGCTCGAAGCCGATGAGCCTGGTGGCGATGTGGCGATGCCGATTAGCCCGACGGCGGCGTGGCCGAGCAGCCTGATAGCGATGCCGACTGAGGCGCGGTGGGGGCAGCCGGCGGCCAACGCTGCCCCCGCGGTTATGAACCGCTCGCGCATGCGCATGGCATGCCTCCCAGCACTGTGCTCCGATCGCAGTCGTGTCCGCAATGGCGTCGTCGTCGTCGGTCCTGCCTCTGCGCCCTTGCAACCCCTTTCCATATGACGTTGCCGCTAGCGCTCGGGCCTTCACTGGGTGCTCAGAGATCCCCAGGGCGATTCGAGGTTGGATGCATTCGAATTGTTTCAGCATTGGTTTAGGCGAGAGAAGGCCGCCGAGCCCACCCGCCAGCACCCGTCGGCTGCCCAGCCGCCGCCAACCACACGCGCCGCCCACGGGTAAGCCATGGCCGCTCGCCAAGCGCGGAAAGGGCCGCATGGCCATGCCTCCCGCGCGAAAAAAAAAGTAAAGAAGGGCCCACTTGTCCGCAAGCCGAAGAACGCACCTTACACGCGCCGCGGGTCTGCTTCAGCCAGGTCGCGTCTCGACCGAGCAGTATGGTCACGGTGCTTGAGCGATTTCGTTAACATGGCGACCAAGCAGGTGATCGACAAGTTGAGGAAGGACAAGCTATTTCTTGAGTGGGAGGGCGCGAAGTGTCCCTACTGCAACTGTGGCAAGCTTGGCCCCTGAAGAACCGCGGCAAAAAGGAGGGGGCGGGTCCACGCATGCACGCGCTAGCGCAGCCGGCGCCACCTCATGCCGCACGCCTTCCACCCGATATTCAAGTGCGGCGCGGGGTCGTCAGGGGAACGTTTGGCGGGCCATGCGGCCGTGCTGTTCTGCGCCGTGGCCCAGTGCTCGCAGGCGCCCGCTCGCCTCCTGCTGAAGAACAATCACAAGGTGGCAGATGGGGCTGCGCGCAGCCCGCGCTAAGTACTCGGGCGCCCACGAGAAGCACATCGTCTTCGGCAAGGACCAGGGCGGCAACGAGCTCGGGTGGGCGGGCGTGGAGGCGGACGAGGTCTACGCGGCGAAGAGCGGGGGGGCCCGAACGCAGGCCCCCGCTTGCAGAAGCCCATCATCTGGGAGCAGCGGGGGCGGCATAGTTCAGCGCGGAAGCCCCGGGCCCCTGGCCCTCTTCAGGCTGAAGCCAGGGAAGGCCAAGCGCAGGGCGCCTGGCCCTGGCCCGACACGGAAGGGGGACTG